TGAGATCTTTGAGAAAGATCTAGTTTGTGCTTTTCTTCAGAGGTTAATGATGTTAGATTATAGAGCCAGATACATCCCTGTTCAGCAAGAAAGCTCTGATGTGAACAATTCACAGGCTGTTCCAGTGTCTGACAGTGCTGTTACAGACGACGATGACTTAGATGCTCTTTTTACTACTAACATAGACATAGAGCAGTCAAAAGAGAATCATGTTCACCCAATGGATGTTCAAATGGCAGCATTTCACTTCTCAGACAGCTTCCTTAAACAGAAAATGATCACAAAGTTGTCACAGTGTCAGTATGCCTTACCACTGCTTGTTCCTGATCCTCTCACATCAAATATTGACTGTCCTTTGTGGACATTCAGACAATTAACAAAAACATGGAAAATAAGCACAACCAAAGAAAATGCAACCACTGTCACCATGAAGAGCATGCCAATCTACAAAGCTGAGACTCCCATGGTTTCATTTTTTCGACTGGGCTCCATGTCTTTATCCAAATCTCAGCTGATGAATGCCTTGATCAACAACCGCCACGACACATTCTTCCACAGAAACTGTAAAGGCAGCACCAAATCTCGTCATTTGATGGATGGGGTGGCAGAGATTGCCTGGTACTGTCCTGCTGGAAAAGACAATGATTTCTTTACTGACTGCATTGCCTTCTGTAATCTTCATGGGGATTCTCTAGCAAACGTAAAACAGCGTGAAATCCTGACTGAAATGTCTTCAGTCATTGTTGTTCTTGTTCCAACTCTGGACAAAAGCCAGGAAAGTACTGCAGTCATTTATATGCTTTACAAGTCTTCAAAGCCTCTAATCATTCTCATTGCTGACAATGAGTGTAGTGCAGTTCACATGGAACCTCAAAAATACAAACTGGGTCTGAAAGAAAGGAGCCAGACGAATGTTTCTGAAGAACTAAAAAAGATTATAAAAAGCCTTTTGTCTGGACCCCACACATCCTTCAGACTGGAAACTATGGCTGATGTCTCGGTGGTCAAAGTGGATGAAAATCAGAAAATCTGCCAGAACGGGAAATCTGCTGCAATGAAAATAATTGAATTGATTGAAGGGATGAACGTTGCCAAAATCAAAGATAAATTTCTCCCCTGTCAAGGTCAACTTTGGTCCAACTGGTGCAAAATCAATAAAGAGTTGCATCATCTTAAAGGACACATTGAGAAAGAAAAGGCCCAGAAAACTCATCAGCTAATGAAACTACGAGAGAAACAGTGTAAAGCGTCCAACAGTAAACTGATGAAGTTGTTCACTCACAGCCTCCAAAGTTTGCCACCAAAAGAAAGAGAATATTTCCTGACATGGACTCAGATCCTCATAGTTGCCCTCTCCACTGATGATCTTTCTTCAATTCTCCAAAACTATGATGAAACGTGGTCAGAGGTCTTGGTCTTGAAGAAGAAACATGACAAATCTTATAAATTAAAACACAAACAGACTGAGCTTGAACTCTTGTCAAAAAAGCTGCAATCAGCAACCTTTGGTCTGGAACACATCTTCAGAGAGATGGGGCAGATCTATGAAGCTCATCAAACTCTGAGGAAACTATCACTGAGCCGACAGCCTGATTGGACTAAATACCCTGAGCTGGCTGCAGATCTGATGATATCAGGACACCCGATGGAGCTGATGGATGGGGATGCAGGCCACGTGCCTTTAATATGGATCTCTAGTCTCTTAAAAGAAGTCATCAACAAACTGGGTGACCAGAGAGTCTTTGTGCTGTCAGTTCTGGGTGTACAAAGTAGCGGAAAGTCAACGATGCTGAACGCCATGTTTGGCCTGCAGTTTACAGTCAGTGCTGGGAGATGCACCAAGGGTGCCTACATGCAACTGGTTAAACTGTCAGAGGAAATCAAGGACAAATACAAGTTTGACTACATTCTAGTTGTAGACACTGAAGGACTGCGAGCTCTTGAGTTAGCAGGTAATGCTACCCTTCATCATGACAATGAACTTGCAACATTTGTTGTTGGTCTGGGAAACATGACACTGATCAACATCTTTGGTGAGAATCCAGCTGAGATGCAGGATGTCCTACAGATTGTTGTGCAGGCTTTCATGAGGATGAAGAAAGTCAAGCTTTCTCCAAGTTGTGTGTTTGTCCATCAGAACGTCACAGATATTACAGCAGCAGAGAAAAACATGGACGGAAAAAGACGACTGCAAGAAAAACTGGACAAGATGGCTCAACTTGCTGCCAAAGAGGAAGTGTGTGATGTTGAGTGCTTCAGTGATGTCATCGCATTTGATGTGCAAAAAGATGTAAAATATTTTGCTCAGCTGTGGGAGGGAAGTCCACCAATGGCTCCTCCAAATCCAGGTTATAGTGAGAGTGTCCAAGAACTGAAGTCCATCATCTTGTCTAAAGCCAAACAGTCTACTGGGATCACTCTGTCACATTTCAACAACAAAATCCAAGAC